CCCCCCCGTTTTTTTTCCCCCAGGAACCCCCCCTTTTTTTGGGGGGGGGGGAAAAAAAAAAAAAAGGCCCGGGCCCCCCGGCCCCCGTTAAAAACCCGCCTACCCACCCCTTGGTTTTTTTCTCCCACCCGGTTGTAACTGCCTTCCGCCCCCCCCCCCCCCCAGGGTGGGGGGAAAACCGGGGGAGCCCCCCCCCGCTTTTGTGGGGAGGGGGGGCAAAGGTTTTATGGATTCCGCTCTCCCCGCTTTGGGGTCCCCCCCCCCCCCCCCCTGCTATACCCCTAACCCCTCTGCCTCTTAATACCCCAGGTATGTGGTGACGAACGACCTCTATCGCGACCACGTGAAAGGCATCGAAGGCCGAAAGAAGGCGGACGCGGCCCGGCGCTGGATCAAGGCCCACTCCATCTCGTACACCTTTGTGGGGGACGAGTTCTTCCCCAACCCGGACTTTTCCTTCCACCAGGACGGTAACGGTGGTGGCGGCGGCGGGAAAGGTTAGTTGATGGCGAAGCCCCCCGAAGGATGACCTGCCCGCCTGACGTGGAGCAGCAGCAGCAGCAGCAGCAGCATCAGCTGTATGGAAGGAAGGCTTGCGCTGGCCACGCCTGAGCGGAGCCCTGGCGAGGGGGGGAGAGAGGGTGTGACGAGAGGCCGCAGACATCGGAGAACGTGTATTCTCTCTGGGGAGCGGCGTCCGCTTTTGCCGCGGACAATGATGGACAAGGAGGCACAAGAGAGAAGAAAGAGAGAAGAGAGACGGATAGATCAAGCCCTACACTCTCTCGCTCGCCAACCTGGGTCGCTTCCATTTGTCTAGGCGGCAAGGGGCCACCGGCTCCGTCCATCCTCTTTTTGCGCCACTCCAGAGAGCCCCTGCTGGCCTGTTGCACACGTGTCCACAGCTCTGCAATTTGGCGAAGACCCCCCACCCCCCACCCCTCCTGTTGTTGATACAGCCAGCAAGGCAGGAACGGGAGTTGGGTGTGTTTTGCTAGATGCCTTGGCTATTTTTTCTTCTTGGGACCTTGCCGGTCGGTGCCTGTACGCGCGAACGCTCAAGCCCGTCCGGCGCTCCGACGGGGCGGGAGATCCTTAAGGGGCCCCGCGCGGGCGAGAGGGGGGGGGGGTCAATGGGGACAGGTAATGAAGGAGTTCAGCCCGTTCTTGCCTCTCTCCATGCCCCCCCCCCCCCCCCCCCCCC